AATCTATGTACGAAGTCATGCATTCCTTTTGCATGCCTACGCTGTTTACAGGGTATAAAAAGCGTAGCAAGGGCAGCCACGAGTAGCAACAAAAAAAAATGGAAATTTCAATGTGCATACATATATAAACAAACACGCAGCAGAGCAAGAGAAATCTACGGGCTGCTAAACTGTGGGCAAATGCGGCAAGTGAGAGGAGTTGAGCAGAGAGTGACGAGGTGGGTTTAAGGGGGGGGGTGGAGAGAGAATTGGGTTCTCTGCTGGCAGAAACTTGGGCAGGTTTTGCCAGCTTTGACTGCGGGCAGACCAAGCGAAACTAAACGCACACTCACACACAGACACACACACACATAAGCGCACACACATAGAAAAGGACACACACGCACGCACACATACACACAAAAGCACAAGTGGCTACTAATGCAAATAATTTACAAGTAGCAAATGTGGGCGGTGGGCGGTGGGCGTTCAACGTGACAGACGCCGAGGCGAAATGTCGACAACAGCAGCAACAACAACAAAAGAGAAACAAAAATAAAAATAAAATGAAAGGACAGGAAAAAGCAACGAGAACAGCAGCAGCAGCAGCAAAATAAGAAGAAGACCAAGCAGGAGCAGAGAAGAGAAGCAAGTAAAAGGACATTATGCGTCTTTTCACATTTGAGAAAAAGGACAAATTTGTAAGGACAAGTGTAAGTGAGGAAAGCATGAGAAAACCTCCAACACATGACCAACCAACCACCCATCCCCCCACCCTCTCACACACACACACACACACACACGCGTGCATACAATTTGTGTGTTCACAGGCCAGTCGCCATTACACGATGTCGAGTGAAAATCAATGCGCTTAATTTGTGGAAAATACCCATAATAAATATATATATATAAATATAAATAAAAATAAAAGCCGAAAAGAAAATTATGAAAACTATGTGAAAAATTTGCATGCAATACAAATTTGCTGCTTTTTACATTGAATTAAAGTTTGAAGAAGGTTTTGTTTCAAAACCCGATATGTTCAGGCAGTTGGCAATTGTAATTTACATTTTTAAAAGTAGCAGGAAATTGTATCACGTAATTGAGAAAAATTCCTTTGTGATCATCTGCTAACACATGTATAAAGATCTGCATAAATTGTTAGGGACACGAGGCATCAGGTTTACATTTAAATTCTTACACAAACGGAAAATGGTGGGAACAGTAAAAAGAAAAACATTTAGATTACAGAGTTTATACAGTTTTCAACTAATAAATATATATAATACAATATTATTACTATCAAACACTCGAAATAACTTAAGGCTTGGTAATTATATTCTGCTCCAAAAAGTATGCTACAAAAATCTGTTTCCCCCAATAGAAAGACAGAAAATGGTTAATAGTATTTAAACAAAATGAAATCGATATACAAGGAAAAAGAGAGCACTAACGACTCTACATATACATTTATGATCAGGAAAATAAACTACCTAAATATATACAACTTAGAGACAATAAGAGCTAGATACTCAAGGTATAAAACCATAGTTATACTAGCATCTTTAAGAACGATATTATTATTGACAATATTTTTCAGAATTTAGGAGTAAGTAAGTAAAAATGAATTTGAAGCCTTAAAACAAAACTATAATAGTACACATTTTAAATACTTTTACTACCCAATATTTTTGTAGGATACAAACAAAATGGTGTCATATTCATTTGAATATAATACCCAATGAAATGACAAGAAATGCAAAAGATAATAACAAAGGCACATTTTTCATATTATGAAACACGAAACACAGCAGAATTTTGAAACTGTGAATAGGGTATCTGCTAGTCTGGCACTAACGACTAACTTGCTTGTACAGAACATTTCGTTGGTTGTCGACCAACATTTGATCTATTCTCCGAGCTTCAGTTCGTTTAACATTTTTCAGCTCCTGAATTCGGTACACATCATTTGTCAGCTCAAATGCTTCAATAGTTTACGTTGCAGGCATGGAATAAAATAAAATATAAAAGCATGAACAGATAAAGTACAAACAAAAACAAAAAACTGTAACCGAAATAAAAAAAAAATAAATAAATACAAAAACAAACCGGAAAATTCTTCAACTTTAGCTGACTTTTCAGAATTTTTGCGGCGACATCGTCGGCGGCGGCGGCGCTGGCGCGTGGAGGTAATTGAAGTGACGTTTATGAATGTCATCCGTCAAGCACTCAAGGACATTTACATACACACAAACACACACAAACACACACACACACATACAAACACACAGGCACGCACACAGAGTCAGACACACAGGGACATGCGTGGGGCGTTTGGTTGCTTGACAGATGCGCGTTACAGAGATTTTTTGTATACCACACCAATACACACAATGCACACGCACACACATGCACACACACAATGGCGCACACAAGCTCAAGTCACATGGCGCATACGCCGCGTTGTCGTCATGTACCATGGACAATATTAAAATTTTGTAGCATTAAGCAAACCAATTTTTGAATTAAAAATAAGAGTGGTAAGTTAATTTTAATTATTAATTTAAAAGCATGTTGCTTCACAGCTGTTAACTTAACAGCTGAGCGACATGTAAACGATTCTGTTAAGTCACATTGCAAATCTTGATTATTTAAGGAAATTTTTTCTAAATATCCCATCGTATTCTATGGAGGATGTTAGCTGCTGCTGCTGCTGCTGTGTGTTTGAGTATGTATGTGTGTGAGTTTGTGTGTGTTTATTTATGTGTGTGCGAAACAATTTAAAAATAAATACAAGAAACTAGCGCAGAACGTGGCGGCAATGGGTCGAATGAGCGCCTGCTGGGCATCAGAGACGCGGTCGGGGGGTCTATTGCTAACCGCGAGGGCAGAATGATAGATTGAAAAGGACTTGAATTGTGCTAAAAAGGACTAGCTCCCACTCTCCCATTCCCTCTCTCTTTCACTCTTTCACTCTCCCTGCCAATTTGGACAGTTTGTTTGTTATACGAATTGGACACGTTTTCGGGTTTCTCTACAGTTCATATGTCATTGTCTAGTTCTAGTTCCACACGCATCGTTTCTCATCATTCAAATGATTTGCGTTTTTCAGCTATTTTTCATGCACAATTTTTACCTTTCGCATAGCTGATGAGCCGCAACAGAACTCAAACTATTGAAAATATAAAAATAAAGATGAGGGACTCAAGACTAGAGGTTAAAGGTAAAGAATGAGAAATACTAATATATTATTCAAAATAAAATTTAAAATTCCTCTAAAATAATGTATTCTAAATAAAAATTGTAGTTCCTTACTTGTAATTTAATACAATTAAGCCTTTTCAGTGTTTTTACTTCTTTAACCTTCTCTTGAACTCGAAGATAAAATCGCTGGTTCAAACTGTGTACGTATCGTACAGCCCACGTGTTGGTCTTTCATCTTATTCTTTGGATGCGTGGCATGCATATGTGGATGCCACAGTGGCGCAGTGCAACACAGTGGCAACCCACTTGGCTTGTCTACTAATTAAAATGCATGCAATAACCTGAAGCCTTTGTTGCCACATTGTTGTTGTCGAGGTTGTTGCTGCTGCTGCTGCTGCTGCTCATGCCACTGTTGTTGTTGGTGTTGTTGTTGTCGTATGCGTAGAAGGACGCACAGCGTTCACAATTTGCACAAAGTGCTTGGACTTGGACTTGGACGGGGCAACGAGCTGGGGGGCGGCGCACTTTTGCTTTTAAGACGAACCAATTTTTTTTAGTATGGCCCCAAGCTGTCCGCCCCCTTGTGCCCCAAGCCAAACTATTGATAGCTTTATAAGCCACATTTTTAATTGTCTATCAACGCGTCTATTTTTAAGCACAAAACTTGCATAAAATGTCCTTGCACTAAGCTCAGCTGGCGCAGGATCACAATTTCCCAGGCGCATGCATTTTTCATAAAAGCAATTTAAAGGTCCAAATGAAGCAACTGTTGCTGTCATTGCTGCTGCTGCTGTTGCTGCTGCTGTTGCTGCTGTTGTTGCTGCATGTTGTGCCACGTGTTGCAACAAAAAATTAATGCAAATTTGCATAATAAATAAACACAATCAAGTGCAACGGCGCAACGAGCAACAAATTTTTGCGTGACTAACACAAAGTGCGGCGCATTGCAGGCTCATTTTTAGAGTACCCTAGAGCACGCCAGCTCAGAGCGGGTATATTTGTCAATTGTAATATATTGAGTATAAGATAATTTGAGCTTCCAGCATAGTATATACTAATCAAGACTCTTTCATTTGCCTAGTCGGACTCACACGTCTAGTGCACACTTATTTGCTTTAAACATAACTTCACAACACTTAAATATCGAAACATAACTTTTTAAGTATTGCAAAAGCCCTACAAAATTAATTTGTTTAAGCCTAAAGCTAAATATAAATCAATAAATAAAGAATTAGCCACAACATAAACAATTTTAAGCTGTAGATTTATATATACACTATCTATATAATTATTATTGTATCACATTTTTAGTTATACTTATTAAAAGCCCAAAAGAAAGTGCGCTTTTCTAAAGCATAGTGTTTAAATACATTCATTCATTTAAAACTAGAGGGTATGCACAGGGCGAGCATTGTCGACTTCGCACTTCTTGTTGATGCTTTTAAAGTAGTTTATTTACATTTTATGGTTGAATGCAGTAAAGCGATTTACAAAATTAGAGAGTGCTCCATGGAGCTCATGAACCAAATAAATGGATTTGTTGTGACAGTGCATGTCGAAAGGATTTCCTAAACAGATCGAGTAAAAGCGATTTGCAGGAACAGAAATATGCATAAGAGAGTTGGGATCAGAGTTGGGAATTTGAATAATGCATGTCTTGAGTAAATCTTTTTATTCATTTAAAAATAGCTTTTCGGGTAGTAAAAGAGCCTTGAATTATATAAGAAATAGCTTTTGACATAGTTATTAACATTAGATTAGCTTAGGTTAATAATATTTCTTAATGATATATTGTATATATAACGTATATAACTTACCCGAAAAGTACATCACCTTTTCTTCGAGCTTCATGCAGACCTGGGCAAAAGGATACAGGGACACATTGGTATGTTAATACTCTAGTAATATATAGTTTATACTTATTTGATTTTATGGTTTTGGGTGACAGCTACTCTATTTACTGTGACCTTGGGGAATATCGATTTTTGTATGGACTTGGCCAAAAAAAAAAATAAAAAATGTATCTTATACTTGTTTCGATTTTACTGAAACTACGGAATTTTTTTTAATGCTACGCAAGTAATTAAACAATGTCAAGGATTTTCTAAGCAATCGTCCAAGTATCTTCCGGTCGGTAGCGATAAATATTTGACAGGGTATATCAAATATTAAACGCAGCCTATTCATGCATAAATTGAGCCTCGCATGAATTGTTTGTTGTCTCTAACCAACAATAATGTCTCCATTTAAGTCGCAACACTTTGCTGCTCATTATTTTAACGACATTTGAAGGCAATTGTATACCCAAAAGCAAAACGCATAAATTACGCAAATGACCTTGAGATTCGCGAAGCGCTTTTATTACAAACGTCAAAATTTCGATATCGAGCTTTGAACCGAGCATGCAAAACGAGTGGGCGACGAAAAAGAAGAGAAGTAGAGAGAGAGAGACAGAGAGAGAGAGAGAGGGGGAGAACCGGTTCGCGTTGAACTTGACCCGCAAGCGCTGTCTTTTTTTTTTTTTTTTGGGCAACTATTCGCTACGCCGCGTGCAGCTATGCGGCAAATCGCATTGTTTACAAACAACATTCTAGAAATTGCAAAAGAAGCAACAGCCGCAGCAAGAGTATATATACTAATAACAACTACAGAGACAACAACAACAGCTGTTGCCGTTTACATGCGACGTCGCCGCTTCCGCAATGCGAGCGAAAGCTTTTGCGCTCACAGACGATCGCCGGCAATACGATTGCCAGAAGCTTTTTGACCAGACCGCCCAGCTTTTGCGCTCTGGGCAGACAAACTGGCCGCGGCTCTAAGCTAGTTTTAGTTTGGAAATTGACGCGCTGACAACACGCGGCAAACGGCAACAATCTATAAATAAATTGAAAAACTACAAATTTAAGAAAGAAACAGAAGAAAAAAAAAAAACACATTTCTATGCATAAGCAACAACAATTTTCTGTCGTGGAAAATTGTTTTGATTTTGAATTTTAAGTGAGTGCCAAACAGATTTCATTCAACTTATCGCATATGGCTAAAGCAACACAACACAAATGGATATGTCTGTGCGAGCCAGTGCCAATCGCTCAAGACATGCATACACACAAACATACATACACACATGTGTATTAACTGTAAATCAATCGTTTGATTGAGCGTTCGATTGATCAGCGCCTCTTAATAAAAGCTTACCTCATTTGGCATATATTATGCATTGAAAAGATCATAATTTGGCAATTAATACACTAAAACAAAAAATTAACTAATTGAGTTCCAAATTAGATGATATATTATTATGCCGGTGATCAGCTCTTTCTTAAGCAAACTCTAACTCCTTAGTAAACTTTCCATAATCACGGCGCAAGTTCGAATTACTTCATCACGATCGCCGCAAAGTGAAATCTGCGCATGGTTCAAAGAGATTTTTGTCTAAATGCAAAAAAACAAAGTTGTTTTCAATAAAGTTGTTACAGAAATCTATAAAAAAAAAAAACTAAATAGCTGTCAAAGCCAAAATAACAATTTTTTAATTTGTCTCCGTCAAAAACCTATTAAAATAAATCTTTGGTACAAAATTATGACATATATGTATTTCAACCTTTTTAAGTTACAGGTTTCTTTATTATTTAAATTTATGTTTCAATTTAAAAAAAAATTTGTATTGTATTCTCTGGGAGTTTATGTAATTTTTTCCACTTAAAATCAATTATACTTGTACAAAATTAAGTAAAGGGTTCAATGGCAAACCTGGCGTATACTTAACGTAGCACACGTCAATAATTAAGATTAATAAACTTTGCTCTCCTTAATGAATGCTATGACTCAATGAATCTGCGCCATAGTGGACATTATATATATACATATATACAAGATCGAAAAGAATTGCATCTTCCCAAAATATTCCCTATATATATATATATGCATATATATATGTGTGTAGAATATATATTAGCTAGTGGGCATTGATTGATTGCTAATTAGTTTGTTTTTTACTAGATTTAGAGCTAATTGACCCATTCAATAAACCCTATATATAAACTGCACCCACAGACACTATTCGTAAACACTTTTTTCTATGCTTTAATAATAATCAATTATATTTGAGAATGCATTTCTAGAACGAAGCGCCAAAACTTTATTCTTATATTTGTGATGATTAAGCTTTTAACATGTATATTTATGCTTTTGCTTTTACGTCAGAACTCAATGAATTATATTTTTTTTTTAAATGATAATACTTTTAACCAAATTTTAATCAAAGTAAAATGTTGCAACAAAAAAATGTGAGCTGGTCACAAGGAAAGAAGCACTATTTTCCTTTGTGCAACTAATTTAAATTAACTTATTGAAAGTTTTAAATACATTTCAAAGATTATACTAAATAAACACATATATATTTTTGAATATTTAACATTATCTAAGATTTATATATCCTTGTACAAATCTTCATGCTGATTGAATATAATTTGCATTAAAATGTGTACATATATATTTAATAATATATATATATATATTTGTAGGTTTTCCTGCGATACAAGAAAAGCGAGCTGACATTGACGTCACGAAAATTCTAATCAGTTGCCGAGCTCAGTATTTTCGTAAAAGTACAAATTTCCTGAAGTTAATCACCAGCACACACACACACACACACACACACACACACAGATACACACAGTGCCCTTGGGCAATAAAATAATTAGAATTACAATAAAATAGGCAAATCGCGAAATCCTCGAGAAAAAAAATCAAGCCAAGGCATATGTATACAATTGAGCGCAATTATTGTTAATAACAAAGCAAATCAATAGTAGCATATATACATATATATATATATACAGAGTATATTTAATATATATATGCTAAGAAGATCGCTTGAAGTCTTGAAGCATCAACGCATTGCTGATTAAGCACATACATATACCCTGCAATTGAGGCACAGCAGTTATTACAAGAGAAATCTTATCAGCAACAACTTCGAAACAAAAAGTGTAAGTGAAAAAGTAGCAATCAACTTAATTATGAAAAAAAAATAAATAAATAAAAACAAGTTTCAATTTTAATTATAAATTTTATACCTAAATTTTCATATATTTTATTTGATTTAATATTATTTAATTTTTTTGGTTTGTTTTTATTTTTCGTATAGTTTATTGCCACGAGTAACGGGTCGAGCAGTTGGCCGCGTGGCAGTTGGCCACAACGGGGCTTAGCAACATATTCGGCAAGTGGGTCAGTCTTGGATGCGAAATATCAAGAGTTGCCATTACATTATGCGCATAAAAATGCAACAGCCAACAACAACAGCAACAGCAACGGCAACAACAAGACAAACAACAACAGCAACAATAAGACGTGTCAGCAACAACAGCAGCAATTACAACAACAAAATGTTTCATATGTTGGTATTGGCGCTGCTGCTGTTGCAGCTCATGAGCGGGCAAATCGATCCGGTGGATGGCCTCAAAGTAACGGTAAGTTAGTAAGTTAGTTAGTTGGCCAACGATTACCAAGACAACAAGTATTTGCCAATCGGCTATTGGGTAATGTTTTTATTGAAAGAGTTGAAAGTGGCCAGCCGTGCGTATACTTGATATTTTATATTTATCCCATTGTTTTTAGACAAACATACTTGCCCCGGGCCGGGAGTCATAAATTTAGTTACATTTATTAAATATGCCCTACAAGTTGAAGCACTTAACTTAGCCTACTCAGTGCTTAAACCAGTTGCGAATCGTTACGTAAATTATTATTTAGGCGTAAAAGTAGTAAAGCTCTTTAAAACTCCTTTAAAACTGAAACAATTTCAGTTGTTAGCTGTTATTATAAAACTTCTCTGGTCGAAAATACGTCTTTATAATAGGAAATTAAATTAAATAAATATTGTTGGTATATGTATCTCTTCAAGAAAATCTAAGAATGCGATTAAAATAGCTTATCTGGTAAATAATATTATCTATTAACTGCGAGCACCACAACTACGTGTCTTTTTTCTACTTAATAGATAAAATCTCAACACTATTTTTTGATCAATCTTCATTTTACGAACCCCAATTCAGTAACATTCGATTTTTGAATAGGATCTAGACCTTATCATAGAGCTCAACATGTGTCAGACAGTTGGGAATCAATAAAACAAATTTCGTTTGTACGATAAGATATTCGACACTCACTCGCAATAATTTTGGACTTTGGTTTGGGATTAATAAAAAAAAAAAAAAATTGCGTTACTTCCAGAAAAAGTAAAAATATAATTATATGGCAAATATAAACTGACACATATGAACAGGCTCAATAAAAAGAAAGAAAGAAGAAAAAAAATACACCGAATGACTATTAAATATTGTTCAAGTGCATTGAATGATTGTGACTACCGATTATAATCTATAAACATATATACTATATATTTTTAAAATGCTCTAATGAGCTAAAGATAATGAGCCTAGCTCATTAAATGATGAGTAATTATAGTTGCCGTTAGATAAGCATTAATATCCTGAGCGATAACTGGAAAAACTTGGCAAACTTTTAACTTTGATCGGGCGATAATAGAATAATTTATGTCACACTCTATCCAGCTATATCAGTCAGTTTTGGCCCCCTCCAAAATTATGTATGACTGATAACATTTTTGGATGGTTGTTCCAATTCACATGGAAACTAGCGCGTGTCAAAGCAAAACAATAACAACGCATAATTACCCCACTTATGGATGCATATATGTATATTAGGCATTTTGTCGTATTTATTTAGCCCCTCTTCCGTACACTTGCCTGATTAGTTAAGGTATCAGCGGAACATGATTATATAATCTACACATGAAAAGTTTATGTTGAAGCCAAGTGCCGAAATGCAAAATTAAGTGAATACACTTTAAAAAAAAACCCTATAAACAAATCTGCATTTAAATATTTTATTGTTTGTTATGAGTCAGAAAAAAAGATGGATTAAAAAATTACTGTGCTTATTTAGACATTTTTCCAATAGAAATGTCGTTCATAAAGCTGGTCTAGTATACTCTCGATTTATTTCGCTAAGTGTACATAGTTTCGTATGTGCGCTTATTTATGTGCGCTACGTATTCGTTTATAAAGCAGCTGCGATCACCCGATCAACAACAAAAACAGCTACGCACATCAGCTGATTGTGCTCAATAGTTGTGCTCTGGCTGATAAGAGAGTTGAAGTACAAACATAACCTCGCTTCCGCCACCTCCCCCATGATCGTGACAAAGCTTTGCTGGCAAAACTTTTGCCACGCCCCTAACACTAATGAATGGCACACGACGCGCTGCCGCTGGCAAAGTTTGATGACGCGCTTCTTGTGCTTGGACTTTGCCATGCGTCGTTGTTGTTGTCGCTGCTGGTGGCTGATGCGTTCGCAACTGAACGAAAAGTTTCGTTAAGCTTTTGCGTGCACGCCTTTGTTGTCATATTAACGAAGCACAAAAGCGCGCGAGAGAGCGGTAAAGAGCGTGCGAGAGAGAGAGAGAGAGAGAGCACGCTTACAACAATAACAAACATTTATTTTCTTGTTTTTCTTGATTTTGATAAAGCGACTTAAGACCATCTAATCACAACGCCCACCTGGCGAATGTCTTTTGGCAGCTAAAAAAATAACAAGCGAACTTTGATACCGATTTAATTTTCCAAACATCGCGTATTGCTAGGATGAGCCATTAGCTTGCTATAAAATTATTAATAAACACACAAAAAAAAAGTGGTGTGATCATTAATTAGTTTTAGTCTGACTAGGAAAATAAAAAGCTTGGGAACGTTTCATATGTGGGTCATGCATTAAGTCTTGTAGATAGTGCCAAATGATTGAATATGTTAATTACTAATATAAAAATAAATATAATATATATAAAATAGATATAAATTGTGTCTGTTGTGCCTTTGGAAGCAAGTGCTATACACATTTCTACATACATATTAAACATAATTAAATTAAAGTCAATTAGTTAGATTCCAAAACGCTTCTTAATAATCATACTTGTTTTTTTTTACAGGCCACTCTCATAACGAATCACAACTATCCCGTGGAGGAGCACACCGTACACACGCCTGATGACTATATTCTCACTATTTATCGGATACCCACCTCCCCCAAGAGGCAGCAGCTCAATGAGACACAGCAGAAGCCTGTGGTATTTTTGCAGCATGGCATTTTGTGCGCCTCGGATGATTGGATCATCAATGGGCCGGAGACATCGCTGGCCTACATGTTCGCCGATGCCGGATACGATGTGTGGCTGGGCAATGCGCGCGGCAATACGTACTCGCGACAGCATAAGCACATACATCCGGATACATCGGATTTCTGGAAGTTCAGCTGGCATGAGATTGGCGTCTATGATCTGGCTGCCATGCTGGACTATGCCCTGGACGTGAGCAACAGCACATCGCTGCACTTTGTGGCACATTCGCAGGGCACGACCACATACTTTGTGCTGATGTCCTCGCTGCCTTGGTACAATGATAAGGTGCGCTCAGTGCATTTGCTGGCGCCGATTGCGTACATGCGCAATCATTCGTTCATTCTGTCCAAGCTGGGCGGCATATTTTTGGGCTCACCCTCGTTCCTAAGCTGGGTATTGGGCAACATGGAATTGTTGCCCATTACTAGCATACAGAAGATAATGTGTGAGCACGTCTGCTCGGTGGGCTCAATGCTGAAGTTTTTGTGCTCCGGACTGCTGGACTTTATTGGCGGCTGGGGCACCAGACATCTAAATCATGTAAGTAGAAGCAACAATCCTAACTGGTAACTAGAATTTTAACTATCTGAAAACCCTATTTCAGACCCTATTGACAGACGTTTGTGAGACCCATCCGGCTGGCGCTTCCACCACACAAATTATACACTATCTACAGCTATACACATCGGGAGATTTTCGACAATACGACCATGGCAAGGAAAAGAACGAGATTATCTATCGACAGGCCGAGCCGCCGTCATATAATGTTCAAAATATCAATAGCTGTGTCAATATGTACTACAGCGATAATGACTATATGTCCGCTGTGGAGGATGTTGAATATTTGGCCACATTGCTTCCGTGCGCAGATCTCTATAGGGTGCCCTACAAAGACTGGAATCATTATGACTTTCTGTGGTCTGTCAATGTCAAAGAAGTGATAAATAATAGAATAATTGATAAAATGCACAGTTATGACATCGAGCACGACACGGGCATGAGTTTCTAACTGATATATATATATATATATATATAAGTGAGCGGTCCCAAGTATAAAAAAAAAAAAAAAAAAAACAAAACAAAAAAAAGCTTAGCCAAATCAAAGAAGGGTACTCAGAATGTAAATACGTGTAAATAATATGGTTAGATATGAGCATGTGCGTGATATTTATGGTAATATTATTGTTTAAGTTGCAAAAGGTTTGTGAAATGCTTCTAGTAAAATTAATATAGTTCTTAGTACGCTATAAAATATACGATACATCATTGTTTTTTAAAAACACCGCCAAAATAATGTTATTATTAGGGGGAGTTTTTTGATAGCTTGTGCTATCGATAGTCAATAAACTGCAATTCCTGTTGTTGACAGAAAACTCCCTCATTCAACAGATTAGTCAGTCAACACAATATGGGCCTATCTAACATTTACCTAGCTAGCAAATTATATAGCTCTCAACAAAGAGTACGTTAATTCAGTACTTTTGAATATACGTAGACATACACATATACATTTTTTTAAATAGCCGCCAGAAGCTCAAATGTTATTATTAGCAGAATCGATTGCCCACTTAACAGAATGCAGCTGCAGTTAACAGTTAGCCCGTTAACAGTTTGCCTTCTGCCTAACAGCTCTCATACTGAACACACCATTCGCTTTCAATATAAACAGTTATTTAAAGCAAATAAAAACAGTTTATTCACCACATTTAGATTTTTTCACCTCTTTTTTATAATTATAAGTTTTGCTAAATATTTACGAATTTTCTCAACAGTGACTTACCTGTAGATAGTACCAGTGAAAAGTAGCAGTTAACCGAATATCGCTCATCTCTAATATGTATTCGCTGAGTGTATAACGCAAGTAGTTAAATTTTTTCACAGTGCTGCTGCACAACAACAAATACGGTGTGCGTAAAATTACAAAAACACAAACAAAAAATCCGTGCAATTCGGTTGCATTTGAATTGATTTTCGCACAAGATTAGTTCACATGTAGCTGTTTAATACAAATTCCATATCCAAAATGGGTAGGTAATGGTGGAAAACAATTATAAATTATGTCTAAGCCGCGATGCTGTGCAACCCCCACCTTCTTCGTTTTGCGTACTAAACCAGGGCTGCATGCAAATACAACAATTAAATATTCACAATTTTTGGCAATGTAAACCAACATCAAAAATGTAAACCGCCTTTTACAGCTTCCCAATCGTTAAGTGTGGGACAAAAGATGCTAGTGGAGATAACCACGGACGGCGTACCGAAGCTTCACTGTCCCGTCTGCAACAAGGCGCTCATTTCGCTCGCCGGCTACGTCAAGCATGTCAAGAAACACGAACCGCCGGGCGGCTTCCAGTGCCGCTACTGCGACATCCACTATTGCCACGAGGAGGAGCTGAAGGAGCATGTGAAGAGCTCGCACAGCGCCTACATCTGCCGACTGTGCGTGGGCGGCAATGTTATATTCAGCAGCGAGGCGGAGCACGATGCGCACATCGAGGAGGCGCATCAGGATCGCAAGTTCAATGTGTGCCTCGATGCCATCGAGAAGCCGTTCAAGTGTGAGGTGCGTGGCTGAGCAGATGATGTGTAGCTGTTGCCAATTTCAAGTTCCACCTGTGCCCTTTGCAGATTTGCGGCAAATGCTTTGCGGATCGTGAGAGCAGCCTGAAACATCATTCCGAGCACACCAACGCGTTGCCCGTGGAGTGTAAATGCTGCGCCATGCGCTTCTCCTGCCCCTCCACCTTGGCCAAGCACCAACGCAAGCATCCCGACAGCTGCGGTCGTCAGTTGCCGCGCACAAATCGCCATCGCTGTGGGTGCTCCAGCTGCTAAATTCCCCAAAGCTTTGGCCAATTCTAATCAATTTCTCTTGCAGTGCCCGCTGCAGCAGAGACAGTATCCGCCGAGCTCGCCCAGCAGCAAGTGGTCAAGCGTAAACGCGGCAGGCCTAAGAAATGTCCGCCGGTTGCGCCGCCCTCGGAGGATAGTGAGGATGATGTGCCGCTGGCCAGCAGGCTGAAAGTGCAGGCGCCCGTCAAGCTGAAACAGGAGTTCATTAGCAGCCAGGAGCTGAGTGATTCAGACGAGGAATATCCTGACTTTGAGCCCAACAATAGCGATGAGGAGCCTGATGCGGTGCAGTTTAAGCTGCCAACTCCGGCGCTGGTCAAAGAGGAGGCCATAGATCCGGACTTTGAGTACCAGGATGCGAGTGCCTTTGTCAAGATGGAGGGCAACGGCCTGGACATATATAGCAATGAGAAAGACAAACTGCTCGATGTGCTGCTCAGCACGGACGAGAGCCTGAAGCCCTTTGAGAATCTCAAAGTGGAGCATGCAACGGGCATACTGGATGAGATTGCTGCAGTGCCCATGGCCAAGCACAATGGTGCCGAGCACATGGAGGAGGATGTGCTGGCGCTGCGCGAAACCGAGCCAGACAGCGCCGAGGAAGATGAGGATGCGGATCAGCTGCGTCCGCTGACCAAATCCAGTGTTAAGCGAAAATATCGCAAACGCAATGCCACAGCCTCGCCCATGCCGGAGGAGACAACGGCGTCAACAGGACCACGACGCGTGGCCAAAATAACCAAAAAGGAGCTGAAGGAGCGTCTGAAAATGTTGAGCAAAATGGAAAGAACCTGGCAGTGTCCGCACTGTGTTAAAATCTATCACATACGCAAGCCATACGAGAAGCATCTGCGCGACGATCACAAGCTCAACGAGCAGGCCATCAAGGAGCTGTTCAAGGATGCGGATGCGCATGCCAAGCTGGACGAGGAGGTCTTCAAGTGCAAAATATGCAGCAAAATCTATTTGGTGGAGAAGCGCCTGGAGACCCACATGAAGGTGCACGGCCAGGATGGCAGTCTCACCCACAAGTGCCCCTGCTACTGCAATCTGTTCTTCGCCAGCAAGGAACTGGCCACCCAGCACGCGCACCAGCAGCACAAGGAGCTGCTCTACTGTGAGAAATGCGACAAGTATATGACTGGGCATGATAGCCTCAAGAATCACGAGAAGAACTATCATGCCCGCAAGGAGCCACGTAATCTGCCGCGCAATCTGATCTGCGATAAGTGTGGCAAGAAGTTCACCGGACGCACCTCGCTCTCGGATCATGTGCGCTCCGAGTGCGGCCGTGTGCCGCTCTATGAGTGCAGCGTCTGCTGCAAGCGGCTTTCCACGGCGGGCATATTGAAGACGCACATGCTGCTCCATCAGTCTGAGACGCCCTACCAGTGCGACAAGTGCGGCAAGACCTTCAAGGTGAAGGCGCAGTACAAGTCGCATCTGAAGACGCGCCACACGGACTACAAGCCTTACAAGTGCCATGTGAGTAAATTCTAGTTAATGCAGAAGGGTCCTGTTCACGCTAGACAGCTGTTAAAGCCAAAGCCTTCTGTTAATTGTTATGCCTTCTGTTATTCGTACTAAAGCTTATCGTTGCGGCCTGCTGTTAAATTTAACTAGAAATGTTACCGTCTGCTGTTAAAGCTTACCCGAACTGTTAATTCTGGTCTTAAGCTGAGGCCTGCTTTAAAGTTGAATCTAGCCTAGTTCTAATGGTAAAACCGTTTGCTTTATCCTGCTGGTAAATACAAAGTCTTAATGCTTAATGCTAGTAAGCCGCAACTCAGAGCTAGGTATAGTTAAATAAGGTACACTTACCCTCAAGAAAAGCTCCTCACTTTCCACATTACTTTAACGCTTCTTTATTTGCTCTTCTCTTACAGCTCTGTCCCAAGGAGTATCCGTACCGTGAGAGTCTGTTGACGCACATGACCGTGCACACGGGCATCAAACGTTTCCTTTGCAATAATTGCGGCAAGCGCTTCACTTGCATCTCAAATCTGCAGGCACATCGCAAGGTGCATGCGGACACCTGCGGCCAGTTGCCCCTAAATGCGAAGGCGACGCAATATATGGGCGTGCAGCGAGGCAAGCTGCTGATGGGCGCCAAGCCGGAGGCGGGCATGGAGTACGAGGAGACAAAAACGCTGATTGCCCAAGATGTGATCGATCGGGATATGCCCATGGCGCAGGAGCTCAACTTTCCTTCCGATGGCAGCGCGCCACTGGCCACAGTGCCGCTCAACTATGCCTCCTCGCATCTGGTTCCACATATTGTGCTGCAGACCATGCAGGCGGAGGCACGAGCACAGGATTAGTTTAGGTTCTAGCGGTAACACTTTAAACGAATAAAGACGCTTTTGTATATTGACTAAATTTTTAACTTACGAACTACAAACTTAATCCTACTGTTTAGTTTAGTCTAAAGTAGGGCTGCTGAAAGCGACCAATGGGCATGCGTCCCTTGCTGCGCAGCCGTCGCACGGCCTCGCGTATAAACTTGGGCTGCAGTGCGCCCGATTCGCCCTGTTGCTCCATCACGTCCAGAGCTGCAAGTCAGAGGGGTTTAATTAAAGCTTTCCAAAGGTCTATAGCCACTTAGCTTACCCTCCTCCACGACCTCGCCTACAAACACCTTCGCTATGCCAGACATTGCTATGACCACATTTTGGGAGACCGAGCAGCCGGTTATGGTCTGCATCAGGCGCTTGACCGCGGCTTTGGGAAAGGCGGAACGGCGATACATCTCATACCGATCTAGCTGCTCTTCTGTGAAGTTGGACACCAGAACTCTGAAATTAATCGCTTAAGATGCTACTGCGGCCGTGATTTATGTAGCACTTACTGCATGCGTTCTCGTTCCTCCTCCTCGAGTTCCTTTTTGGTTTTTAGTTTCTTTTGAGAGGGCTCGCCGGAGTCGCCGTCCGCATCGGCATCTGCTTTGCCATCCTTGTTGTCGGCGTCATTGCCATTGCCGTCTGCTGTGTCGGATGTCTCACTATCCTTCCGGCTTTCGGTGGCTGTGTTAAAGAACTTTAAATCCACATCATCGTTGTCACTTAGTGAATTTTGCGTGGGAAACAGAATTTCATCCATTTCGCTAAAAGTAAACAGATTAAAATTATCGAACAGCCACCACCATCTATCGGTAGACTCGAAACAGGCATTGTTCAACACTACTTAAGATGATTGTGAATGATATATCGATAGTTTGTTAAGGACAGTTTTATTTTGCAAATATTTAATAGAAATATATTTATGTCTAGGAATACGTAGTTTTTAAATCATCAAAATTACAATCTAGTCGGCCGCTTTATGTAAAATTAAAGTTTAATATGAACACAACCTTACGATAGAAATATTCGTTTAACTTAAATGTATCGTGTTTTTGGCTAGCAACACATCGCTAACCTCGTGCTCTCCTTTCATCGCCATTATTGCTTAGTAGCCGCAAGTGTATTTTATAATTTTCGCAAATACATAAATATGTCCGCAGTGGAAACATTAAACGTTGAGGCGGCCGTAACCGAAGTTGCTGTAACCGCAGCCGGCGACGATGCCAAAAAACAAAAGAAGCCAAAGCCGAACAATAAAAAACTGCGACAAGGTGAGTGACCTAAGCATTTCGCCATACATTTACCTACATATATATATATATATATATATATATATATATATGTACTTCACATGCGCAATTCCTAAATGCATTTAAAATAATACAGAGGCCGCAGCTAAAAAGGTCGCCGAGGGTGGCGAACCGGAGGCAGCCACTAATGGCGACGTTGAGAAAAGGGCGCCAACGGGCGCAGCGGCTGCGCCCGCCAAGAAGAAGAACAAGGGCAAAAAAGCCGGCGGCGGTCAAACAGATCCACCCACCATACCCATTTCAGAGCTCTTTGCCAATGGCAATTATCCCGAGGGTCAGATTATGGAGCACCCTACGCCAAAGGATCTGCCGGACGACCGTACGGCCAAGGATCGCTTTTCATCCGAGGAGAAACGTGCTTTGGATCGCATGAATAACGACATCTACATGGAGCTGCGTCAAGCGGCCGAGGCACATCGCCAGACTCGCCAGTATATGCAAAAGTATATCAAGCCCGGCATGACAATGATACAGATATGCGAGGAACTCGAAAATACCGCACGTCGGCTAATTGGCGAGAACGGACTGGAGGCCGGCTTGGCTTTTCCAACCGGATGCTCGCTTAACCATTGCGCTGCCCATTACACGCCCAATGCCGGCGACACCACGGTGCTTCAGTATGATGATGTTTGTAAAATTGATTTTGGCACTCACATCAAAGGACGCATCATTGATTGCGCCTTTACGCTGACATTCAACAATAAGTACGATAAGCTGCTGCAGGCCGTCAAGGAGGCGACCAATACGGGCATTAAGGAGGCGGGCATCGATGTGCGTCTATGTGATGTGGGCACGGCCATTCAGGAGGTGATGGAATCATACGAAATTGAATTGGACGGCAAGACCTACCCCATCAAGGCTATACGTAATCTGAATGGACATTCTATTAGCCCGTACCGTAAGCGAAAATACCAGTTTCCGTTACGTTGGTGCACATCTAACGTATTTTTCCATTTTGGTTTTCTGCAGGCATTCATGCTGGCAAAACTGTGCCCATTGTCAAGGGCGGCGAGTCCACACGCATGGAGGAGGATGAGTTTTATGCTATTGAAACCTTCGGCTCCACAGGTCGGGGCCTGGTGCACGACGACATGGACTGTTCGCATTATATGAAAAACTTTGATTTACCATTTGTGCCGCTCCGCCTGCAGTCATCCAAACAGCTGCTGGGCACCATTAACAAGCATTTCGGCACGTTGGCCTTCTGCAAGCGTTGGCTGGATCGCGCCGGCGCCACCAAATACCAAATGGCACTCAAGGATCTATGCGACAAGGGCATTGTTGAGGCGTATCCGCCTCTGTGCGACACCAAGGGCTGCTATACGGCCCAGTATGAGCACACCATCATATTGCGACCCACATGCAAGGAGGTGGTATCGCGCGGTGATGATTATTAAAATCATGAATATATCGGAACATGAAACGTTTAAACGGCATTACATTTGTAGCATGCATTACATTAACATTAACTACAGTTTAATTTCTATAAGTTCATGCGATTGTTGAATTTTTGTGTGTGAGAGAGTAAGCGTAAAGCGATTTCAATATACTGTGCAATTGTGTTAAGCAATTCACATAAGCGAACACATATTGTTCAACAATATCATTATTTTTCTGGCGGCTGCTGTTGTAATTCCTGACGCCAAAACCACTCCATGCCGTGGGGCATCAACTCGTTCCAGTTGATTGACTTATTCAGTTCATTGACTTTGCTGCTGCTCTCCTTGGAACTATTGTATGCCCTGTAGTAGAAGACAAACCATTTGCCTGTTAGATAATAAAGAATTTCAATATAACTGATAATGCTGAAGCCATACATCAGCGATAAAATGCCACCAAAGCGATCTACAATGAAATGGAACAGTAAACAATGCGATTAAACATACTTTTTAAATAGAGCATTGGCAGATTAAGCTAATATGATTGCATTGAAGAACAATTTGTATAAATATTAAGAGCTTTAATAGCAACTAGTTGAGAATGTCCGACTAGGGAATACCTTGTGACCAGCTCCTAGATCCTAGCTTACACAACGATTTGATGCCTCAATTGTTAAATCAGGCGTTGATATTCCAAGGGTTTTCTATGCCACAAATTAACTTAATATTTAATACAACTTTCTTAATTTGACTCTAGTCTCTAAAATGGACGTGTTTATGACGACGGACAGACGGATTTCCTACTGATCATGATACTTTATAAGAGCTCAGAAGATTCCCTTTGGGTACAATGGGTACAGTTAGTATAATGCTTATACATAGTATAATTGTTAGTTATTAGCCTAAAAGTAGTTAATTCTTAAACTCAACTGAGCAGCACAACCCAATCGCCAACCATATCCATTTGTGTGGCCTGCGCAAAACGCAGCTTGAAGAACAATTTAATAATGGACAAAGGACGATCGTTGTTCAGGCCCTTGCTGGAATAAGCCAAAGATCAACATAAACTCAAAAGGTAACTGCAAAAACTGAGCACATACAGTAGACCACGATTATAACCCGATGAATTGTAGCTCTTGCGCAACGGCGCCACATTGCTGATGATCTCAAAGTTGACGCCGTCGCAGGTGGGCAGGCAGTGGAGGCATTGCGATATGCTGGCGGCATCCTCCTGCACGTACGGATACTCATTGTAGCCATGCCAAATGTTACGCCATTTCATCAGGCACGGCAAATCCAGAAGCGTGCAGTAGCTCACATTGCGCGCTGTTCCGGCCATGGGCGAGGAGACGCAACCGCAATGCTGCACCATGCTCTCAATGCGACACAGCAGCATGCACTCGTCCAAAGAGTAGTAGGATCTGTAAGGCAAGAACAATAGTCGCTTGACTGCACGAATTCCATTCACTTACTGATTCAACAGCTGTCTGCCCTCCTCGGGAAAGTAACAGCGGCGTGTTTGTGGCGTTACACCGCGCACCGCGTTGCTGGAGTCAAAAAACTTGGGTTGGATGGGCACTTCGACAATTGTATTATGATCGACGAGCAGTTCGCCATGTTTATTGGATTGTACTGTAGCGTAATCTTCCTGTGGGAAGATCATGAGCTGCAAGGTAAATAAATGTATATATTAAATTAACATAACGTAAAGGAGTTAAACGCACAACGTCTGACAACGATAGAAGTATTAACAGAATCGATATCGCAACGGTTAGTGTTAGCCGGTTAATCGATAAGTGCTTTGAGTTGCTTCTAGGAAAAATCCTTTGGGATATTATAAATGCCAACATTGGGAAAATATTGATCGACAAATCAATTGATATCGTATCTGTTCATTTTGCCGCTGTTAATAGATGTGCTTTGAGTTGCTTCTAGGAAAAATCCTTTGGGACATTATAAATACCAACATAGGGGTATAATTTAACATTGTTTGCCAAATTAATCGATATCGTTTCTGTTAATTTTGGCGCTGTTAATCGGAAAGTGCTTTTTGCTAAGTGTGTATTTTGATGTGTGAGCGCGGTAATATTTATAAATTGTGCGGTTTAAAAAGAAAAAGAAAAAGTGTTTAATGTACCCGAAATGCCGTGTTGCTGAGATATCTTTCCGTTAAATCATCCTCTTTTATGTCCTGCAACACAAACTGTATGCCATTAAGTATGGAATTCGATTCAAAGACAACCTGCGGCAGTGCAGACATTTCAGCATCATCTTGAGCGCGCCGAGCGCTGCAAAAATACAACAAACAGGTAAATGAAGCCTTTAATAGTGTATTTTAATTACTCACTGTGAATAGCTGGGTCGTCTGTAGTTAAATATGCAGCACACACTCGCCGTTGTTGACCGCTTGAGAAACAGTTGACTTGTGTTGACGGGCGCACCATAGATGAGTCCGCGCGGCACCAGGTCGCCGCAGTCGGGCGACAAGTCTCTCAGTATATCGTGCACCGAGTACCCGCTGCCATTATAGTAGCTATCGAGCAGCCAGTGGAGCTGGCCCAATTCGGCGACGTCCAGCGGCGACTCGTCGTGCGCATTCAGGTAGAAGTTGGTCAGCACCAGCAGGCGGCGCGCCAAATTGTCCGCATCTAACGGAACGTAGCGGCTGCCATTGCCAACTGTTGTTTTGTACATGGCCTGGTGCTGATAGCTGTGAATCGGGTGCGACATTAGCATGCTAGCTGAGTGTGAATTTCAATTGGAATTGTTCTTGTTAAAACCAAGGCAAATACACTAGAACATATTTGCTTATATTCGCGTTACCGCACTTTAAATACCCTATCAACTCTTTTGTTAATATAGAGACACAATCGTGGCGACTCCGACTGTCTATGATCTATGCCCAGTTTACTTTACAGTAAAGGGTTTATGTATATATTTAATGACGAAAATTTATTACCCTCTGGCAGTGTATAACAATTTATAAACTACTCGTCTCATAGCGGTCTTTTAGGAATAGTTCGACTTTAGCATTCCAGACGCTTTTTCATATGTCTGATCAGGCTGCATTACGGTTAGTCCAAGTTTTTTATGACTGGCAAGATTCGAAATTTTTATTCAAGACTTGCAATTTTCGGTTGATTTACAGTTGAGACGTTCTCTGATAAGTGCATTGCCTAGATTATATTAGATTGTTTCAATTCTTAAAAATCATTTGCAAAATCCAAGGACTATAAATAAAATTTGATCGATTGACTTATCAGCAATGTCTGTATCAGAGACATGTTCCAGGGCAAGCAAACCAAAGCCTATAAAAGCACATCACACGACTGCGTGTTTTCATACCAACGGCAACCATGTCGCTGAACAAGTCGCTTCTATTCGCCCTGTTGGGCCTATTGGCCACGTTTGGATTGGCTCAGGCGGAGCGGGTCCGCTACGACAACTACCGTCTATACAAGGCCAATGCAGAGAATGCTGAGCAGCTGGCTGTGCTTAAGCAGCTGGAGGGATCTACGGATTCCATCATGTTCCTGGATGGGGTTCACATTGTTGGAGCTGATGTCCAGATGGTTGTTGCCCCACACAAGGTGCCTGATCTATTGGAGATTCTGGGAAAGGCTGAGATCAAATATGAACTGCAGTCTAAGGATTTCCAACAGTCCATGGATGAGATTGAGGAAAAAGTAGCCGTCAAGGGCCGCGCCAGCGCTGAGTACAACTGGGTGCAGTACTATGAACTGGATGATACCTATGCCTGGTTGCAATCATTGGCCAAACAATATCCTCAGATCGTCACATTGATTGAAGGTGGCAAAACTTATCAGGGCCGTTCTATTTTGGGCGTACAAATTTCCAAGAGCGGCACCGAGAAGCCCGGAATCTTCATTGAGGCTGGTATTCATGCACGCGAGTGGATTGCCCCTGCGGCCGCGACCTTCATCATCAATCAGCTTCTTACTTCAGAAGTAGAGTCCATCAAGGATTTGGCGGATAACTATAACTGGTACATCTTTCCCCATGCAAATCCCGATGGCTATGTCTACACGCACACCAAGGATCGTCTGTGGCGCAAGACCCGCACACCCTATGGCAGCTGCTATGGCGCTGATCCCAACCGCAACTGGGGCTTCCACTGGAACGAGGTGGGCGCCAGCAACAGCGCCTGCTCTGACACCTATGCCGGACCCTCGGCCTTCTCTGAGATTGAGACTCTGTCGCTCTCGAACTACATTGCCTCGCTTAAGGGCAAGATTCAGCTGTATGTGTCCTTCCATGCCTATTCGCAGTACCTTCTATATCCCTATGGCCATACCAAATCCTTGCCAGACAATGTCAAGGACTTCCAGCAGGTCTTCAAAGCAGCAACTGCTGCGGTCTCCCAGCGCTACAACACAAAATACACTGGTGGCAACGTTTATGATGCCATCTACCCTGCCGCAGGCTCCAGCACTGATTGGGCCTATGGCGCTCAGGATGTGCGCATGTCCTTCTGCTATGAGCTGCGTCCCTCCTCCAACTCCTATGTGACCGGCTTCAAACTGCCCGCTACACAGATCATACCCACCAGCGAGGAGCTCTTGGACTCCATCACCGCCATGGTTGGCGAGGTCAAGAAGTTGGGCTATTTTGATTAAAGTTTTGCGCAATAAACGACTCACATTTTGGCAGCATAGCTTTGCATTAGACGTCTGCTGATCATATTGGAGCTACAGACACCCACAGCGGGAAAGGGGCTGTTGGACACATGCACCAGATTGGGTGCCATGTGGATTTGAGTGGGTTGGTCAATGTACTCGAGCGTTAGATTGATGATAACGATGTGTGTCCACACAACAATAACAGCGAGAAACGCCACCCAGAGGGCTCTGTCAATAGATAGATAAGTTAGTTAAATAGATAAGTTATTTTGTTTACCAAAAGGGAGATGTTGATGAGTTTTGGCTCACTTGGCGTATTGCACAGGCGTGTGTAGCAGCAGAGGTTGTAATCCACTAATATAGCTGCTGCGCAGAAAATCTTTAAAGAGTTTCCGATAGATGGATTCCACTTTAGTTATTTGCGCCATGTTGATGTCTTCACTAAATGGGAGCAAGTCACCAGTCACCTTATGGAACCGACTCTGGTTGACTCAGCTCATCAATCAGAACCCGTCCAATTGGAATATGCCACGGCAGGACATTTACTGTCAAAATATGATGGGCCAGAATGATTGATGTACTTAAATAGGGGTTGAGTTTACCTACATATTGATCCTGTGTCACATTTAGAAATTTCTTTATACATGTTTTAGGTTAGTTCCAAATAATTCCTAATTTCAGGAGTAGTAGATGAATAAGAGAATATTGAAAAGTTGAACGGAGCAGACCGAAAATGTAAAAATATTCCATATCTCAAGGCTTTAGGTGCGCCTAATCAGCCTGGTCAGCTGGTTAGACCTTAAACTCTGACTGAATCTGTAAGAGTTATCAAGAACTAATAACAAATCTCCTTCACTTTTTAGGAGGCCTAATTATGCCTTCGTTTAATTTCTCACCAAAATTCAGTCAGCTTCTTAAATCTGATAAACATACCCTATTATAAAACTTGGTCGTAAATCTTACTGTTTTCTTTAGAAGTCATTGTTTTGTAAACTTTATAGACAATTCCCATGTTTCTGAAAGAAGCATACTGAACCTTTTTATATCCATTATTTATAAGACATGGAGTACATAGTGGGTTGTTCTTCTTTTAAGAATCGGCTTAAGAAAATCGGCAAAAATCATTTAAAATTAGATCCTAGGCATTTCGGAAACAGTAATTGTTGTAGTCTTTGAGAGATCTATAATTTATTCTACAATCAACCATCCGAATAGTTTCTAAAAAGACTTCATTCAAATTGTCAGACCAATTAAATATTAGGGTACTTAGGCACTAAAATGCGTTACGTTAGCCTTCCTTAGCTCGTATTCAATTTATAGACTGCCAGTCACCCAATAATACAGGGTTAAACCCAAGTGTTTTATGAGTAGTTTAAATAAAATTCACGATTTTTATGAAATCTACAAAAAAATTGTTAATTTCTTAAAAAAAATATTGACAATCAAAATATTGATAAGCGCTTAGACTGAGATAACTCTTTTATTTATGTCTCCAAACATTGACGATTTAATCCCAAGGGCTATAAATAAGATTTGGCTAATTGACTTATCAGCTCTTATCACAGACGTTATGCCCAAAACCCCATCGACTATATAAACCAACCACGCGAAATCGTATTGTTTATACCAACGACCGCCATGTCGCTGAATAAGTTGCTTCTCTTTGCCCTGTTGGGCCTATTGGCCACGTTTGGATTGGCTCAGGCGGAGCGGGTCCGCTATGACAACTACCGTTTATACAAGGCCAATGCGGAGAACGCCGAGCAACTGGCTGTTCTCAAGCAACTGGAAGGATCTACGGATTCCATCAAGTTCCTGGATGGAGTTCACATTGTTGGAGCTGATGTCCAGATGGTTGTTGCCCCTCACAAGGTGCCCGATCTATTGGAGATTCTGGGCAAGGCTGAAATTAAATATGATCTGCTGACCAAGGATTTCCAAAAGTCCATGGATGAGGTCGATGAGAAAGTGGCCATTAAGGGACGTGCCACCGAAGACTACAACTGGGAGCAGTACTATGAACTGGACGATACGTACACCTGGATGGTATCTCTCGCTAAGCAGTATCCACATGTTGTCACATTGATTGAAGGTGGAAAGACCTATCAGGGACGTTCAATTTTGGGTGTCAAGATCTCCAAGAGCCTTAGCGAGAAGCCTGGCGTTTTCTTGGAGGCTGGAATTCATGCCCGCGAGTGGATTGCCCCTGCGGCCGCGACCTTCATCATTAATCAGCTTCTTACCTCAGAGGTAGAGTCCATCAAGGATTTGGCGGATAACTATAACTGGTACGTCTTTCCCCATGCCAATCCCGATGGCTATGTCTACACGCACACCACGGACCGCATGTGGCGTAAGACTCGCACTCCATACGGCAGCTGCTTCGGTGCTGATCCCAATCGTAACTGGGGCTTCCACTGGAACGAAGTCGGTGCTAGCAGCGATCCCTGCTCCGATACTTATGCTGGACCGTCGGCCTTTTCTGAGATTGAGACTTTTTCACTGTCCAACTACATAGCCTCGATTAAGGATAAGATTCAACTTTATGTCTCTTTCCACGCTTACTCGCAGTACCTTCTGTATCCTTATGGTCACACCGGCGATTTGCCTGACAATGTAAAGGACTTCCAACAGGTGTTTGATGCTTCTATTGCGGGTGTAGCCCAGCGCTACGACACGAAATACACTGGTGGCAACATATATGATGCCATCTATCCTGCTGCTGGTGCCAGCGTTGATTGGGCCTATGGCACTCAGGATGTGCGCATGGCCTTCTGCTATGAACTGCGTCCCTCTTCCACTTCCTTTATAACTGGTTTCAAGCTGCCCGCTGCACAGATCATACCCGCAAGCGAAGAAGTGCTGGACTCCATTATCGCCATGGTTGGCGAGGTCAAGAAGTTGGGATATTTTGATTAAAAATTTGCGCATTAAACGATTCACAAAGTTTTTCAATAGATTTAATCTCGTTCTCTATTGATATAGTTAAATACAGGTCGAAAAGTGAGAAAGTATACAAATTCAAAGGCCGTGACAATGCTGAAGCCAAGTATAAGACCTAGCAGGCCGCCAAATGATGCTGCAGATTGTAAAGCCAAAGGAAACGTTTTTAAATAAACAAAGGATCGAGGTTTTAATTAATGTGAACTCACCCAGTGCCGATAGCCAGTTCTGAAAGATCTCCATACGATATCTGGTGGACATTAAGTCGCTATAGAAGACATGCACCAAGATGCTATCTGTTCGATTAGAACTAATAATTCGAGAAGCTTTGTCAGACTGTGGAGATCTAAAGTATATTAGTGAAAATCTTGCCTCATTTTGTTGCCGTTGTAGCTTATATCGAGCCTGCCCATGGTGCTCTCTGAAACATATAGATTCGACTCGCAGTCGGGCAAACAGTTGCAGGGAAAACTATTCGTTTGTCGGACCACGGAAAGTGGGGCGTCTAGATTGGCCAGGGCGCGAGAAAATAAACCTGAGCATAGAAATAGTTGATATCACAGCTCATCCGACAATATTCGCTCTCCATTCTCCGTACTTACGTTTGCTTTCAATCATGCAGTTGAAGTTGAGCACCCCGCAGACTTTCATGGATGCATTGAGCGCCAGATATGATGGCAGGCAACCACAAAGTTTTAGGGTCATACGCATTCTGCACTCGAACATGCAATTGATGAAAGAGTAACGTGTCAGGCCATCGAGCTTTCGTTCGGTGCCAAAGAGGCAGTTCCTCCAGCGCAAGTCCATCTGGCGTATGTCCTTGGTGGCATAGGTGGACTCTGGATTGATGCGCACAAAGCTCTCGCGCGTGGATGTGACTACCTTGGTCTCAGAGTTCTCATCCGGAAAATTATAGGCATCATGGATGAGCAGGCGAAAGCCAAAGCCGCTAAAGAAGGTGGCATAATAATCCTCGACCAAGGGATCGAGGAGCACCGATAGACCTGTGGGATAGCCACAGCCAGTGACACGATACGGACGCTTGGGAATTTGATATGCGATTTTGCTATTATAGAAATATTTTCAAGGATTTGTGAAAGAGCTTCGAAGCACGTGATAGATATGGGAATTTCAATGGCTTTCTCTTTATATCTTATTCCTTCTTTTTTTTTTGTGTTAGGAATACTTACATGGGAAAATTATTGGAAACGGCGCCAAAATAGTTGAAACTACAGCAAATACCCTGTAGAGTGGCAATGCGTTGAAAGAGGCTTTCACAACGCGTTTTGATGCCCTTCCAAATGCAGCGTGAGATCATATCCAGGCAGTCGGGTGACAATCGATTGAACAGCTCCGTCAGGGTGATATTATTCAGATTCAATATCCTATCGTAGGTCTGCAATGAACTATCGCTTATAAGTTTGCCCGTGGGAATCAGGGTTAAGTTAAAGAGTTGCTGAAGTTGCTCCTTGGTCACATTGGGTGGCAGTCGCCTGAAGAGAAGAAGTACTATGAGCTTGGGAAAAATAGTTGCTGATCCATCTCAGACCCACACACTCACATGCGCTGCATCATGTCCAGGGCTTTGGTTTTGGACACTCTATTGAAATTGCAAATGGTTACCGCTGGGAAGGGTATATTCCAGGTGGGAAAGTGCGAGCTCTCGATGACAGTTACCGTGGGTGTCTCACGGTTCGAGTACCACGAGACCAGCACCAGTGAAACGGCGGCTATAATTGCCGCTATGACCACGCCCAGCCAGAACCAACGCTCGTTCCGGCTGATATCCTGTCGTGTGATATAGCTGAATCCGTGCAGCGATGTTGTCTGGCAAAAGTTCCGTAAACTCTCCATGAACCAAGTTCTCACCAGTCGCAGCTGATTTAGTTTCCAGCGTTTGCGACTGGCCCCAGTTTTGGGTGTGTGCACGGTGTGGCTGCTTTTCCTGTGGCTTTCGGTGGTTTTGCTGAGCTGCTGCTCGGATAGCACTTGGCGCATATCAAAGATCCGTCGCTTCTTGAAGGCCATGTTGAACACTTGAAGGTGCTTCGAGCAACTGGCTTAGCGTGGCCTTTGGCTGACCAGCTAATTAGCATGTCCTAATTACCATTTGCGGCTCGTCGCTGATGAAGAAGTCGACGTCGCTGTCGATAGCGTATTTGTTGTCTGGTCAACCAGTTACATGTGGGGCGCACACACACAAAGAATATTAGCTCGAACACAGATACGAAACTGCAGCCCATAAATAGGCCGGTGATGCCGCCAAAGGTGCCTGTCACATTACAAACGACAAGTACTTCATTAAATATGGGTATAAACGCACCTTAGATACGGTTGAACGTGACTATAATGAACGTTTATAAGTGCAATGCTATGAGCTTCAAGCTGTTTTACAATTAATTAACTTAAAGCATTTTCCTTGAGTTTTCAGTGTTTCCAACGAGCAAAGCTATGTGATTTGCACAAAGCTTAAGGTTTTTTAACAGCTTTTGTGTTTATTTGTCTATTTGTGTTGAGTTCGTTTTAGCCCTGTTCAACTGTACTTGCCTATAAAATTCAGCCAATTCTCATAGACATCCAATCGCAGTCGTTCAGCGCTGAACGAGTCAAAATATATGCGTAGTAGCACTTCGTCCGAGCCATTAAAGTTCTTGCTGTTCTGGGGAAATTATAGTTATAAATATTAACTACCCTACTTAATAATCAAAAGCTTACAAAAAGCCATCATTAGCTTGGGGCATAGGGTAGCTGGCATCCAGGGTTGCCACATCGCTGTGCACTTCGTAACGGTAAAATTGACAAGATGGCAAGCAATTGCATACGCTCTGCATGTGATCCCAGCTGTTAACTAGAGCAGATATTATAGAGTTGCTTATTAAATGGAGAGACTAGTGAGTATTACCCGGCTTTGGCCGGCCAAATTATAGAAAAAGGAAAAGATTTTTCACTAGATCGAGTAGTTCGTCTTTAACGAACTTTTGAAAAAGATCTTTGGAAAAGATTTTTAAGCTGATCGAATAAAAAAAACTAAGAAGAAAGGAATGAACTAGAAAAAGTGACTGCTGTCATTTATTGGACTTTGTGTATCTTTAAGCACTTTTAAAATTAAAGCTTACCCTCTTCCTGAAGGCATGCGAACTGTTCCAATTTACATAGGGGCCACTGCCAACGTCTGGGCATATGTGGATGAACACAGCCGCAAATTTGCAGCATTCTCTCGCTATGACACTCCGCCAGGCAATTATCCTGACTGTAAACCGAGTAATAGAACAGCGGCCGCTCATGGCTCAGATAACATCCGCGTTTGCTGGGCGCCAGACCGCCTATATAGGGCGTGGCATATGTACTGTATGGCTTCAGCATGAGCTGTGCCTCCGTACCTCTGGGCACCAGCACGCGTTGTGTGGCCGCATGGATAACTGTATGCGGTTCATGTATCAACAACTGGAAACCGGCTGCGGCATGACGTGAGCTAGCATAATCCTCCAGCTGGCTGGCTAAACGCAAAGTCAAACCCTTGGCTGGATTGCCAGGGAAGCTGCCGGGCGGCTGCTTGAAGCTGCAACAGCGGCCCTCACTGTAGCTCCAAGTGGTGGTCAGCAGCTGTTGACAATTTTGGGCCAAGCCCTGCCACTGGCAGCCCAAAGCTTGTGCCTTACAGATCCGTGGCGCCAGCTGTTCCAGCAGCTGAGACCAACTGACGTTCGCGTAGCTCAAATCATTTAACGCCGTCAGATTAAACTGCTCCAAACTGCGTCCGGTTAACCAGGGCACTTGCTGCAGCGTTTGTGGCGCCACGGACCACTTTTTCGATTTAAGCAACAGCTGGCGCCTGGAGACGCGATTCAGGCTGCATATGCTCAACGCCGGATAGGGCAAAGGCTGTGCGGACATGGGCTGCAACATGCTCTCTATATACCGTATGGTCGGCGTTTCCGCCGACAGGCTATATGACATGGTCAGCACCAGGAGCGAGAGTAACAGCGCCGTGCAGATGAGCAGCCACCAGAGCACACGCTGCCATGTCTTGGCGCCCACGAATATATGAAATCCATGTATGCTTGACATTTCGCAATAGATCTCAAAGCCCGTCTTGGTTTTGCATAGACCATCATCGTGCCGTGCACGCAGAAAGCTCAGAAAACTGGGCAGCGGCAGCTGTTCAAGTCTTTTGGAGACTTGGGCACGCTGGTGGCGCCACCATCTGAATAGCTTAATTCTTTTGAAGGTTTTGTAGAGCTTATTACATCTGGATTTGGGTTTTTGAGGCCTATCGAAGCATTGTAGCGGCGTTATCTTGTGCCGCTGCTTGGGACGCAGATAATTCTCATAGTTGATTAGATAAATAGGCTGTGTAGGCGCCTCGGTTGGAGCACTTGCCATCTTTAATGTGATATTAGCTGTTGTATAATTATATTAAAACTTAATTCTCTTCCTCAGTGAATTGACAGATAATTCAGTTGATTAGATCTTCATATATCCTGTACCTATAGCATAAGAGTGAAAGAGGAAAAGCATATTCATATATCTAAGTCTGAGCCGAAACATATTTTTTAAAGAATGAAGTTTGGCTCAAATTATATTTTATTATTTGGAAAATCGAAAAAATAATTGCAAAACACCTTAGTTTATGACTGGAATGTAGGTTTGATAAGAAATATCTTGGAAAACTTATTTTGCTGTACAAAAACTCCTATTTTGACCCATGTACTACTGCGACTATATTTATCATACAGTAGCTCGATAATTATAACATAAAACTCATATATATTAATATACGGCGAGCTGGGTTAAGATATCTTGGTAAACAAGACCCCTTCAAACTGTGTGATATAGTTGCCCTATATTGATAAGATTTTGCATAGTGAGGAGCATAGTGAAACCAATAAATACCGCGTTTTTTATCTCAGGTATATGATAGAGTAGTCGACGGATCTTTACAAAGTTTCAAAATGATAGCCTTAAAACTGAGAGTAAATTAGATAGACAGACGGACGGACATGGTTATTTCAACTCGTCTGTTGATGCTGATCTAGAATATATATACTTTATTGGGTCGGAACTGTCTTCTTCTCGTCGTTAAACATTTCATGACAAAGTTACAATACTTTTTAAAAGGATATAAATCGAAACTAATTACGATAAAATAATATATGTCGATGTTATATTATTTAAATTATAACAAATTTAGTTGTGCCATTATGATCCAAAACCGAAGTTTACGAGTTTGCGAGCACATTCGTTGGATTTGATATATATCTTATAAGATCGGAGCTGCCACCTTAAATGCTTATTAATTCGATTCACTTTTCCCTATGTTCTTCCTTTAATATAAACAACAACATTTTTATTTGGTCTGCCTAGGAACAAAAATCGGTCGCACTCTGTTTTACTTTCTTTAACTATCTACTTCCAAGCTGCCCAATTTGCTTTATATATGTTTTTCCCAGTGCCTCAATTCGAAATCGTTAGCGTCACGCCCAATTCATTAAATAGATTCTGTCACGCCCTTCAGCTGTTTTACATTTCGCTATCAATCGTTGCTCCTGGTCGAGCTGGAGGCTGATTACCTATATCAGTACGATTGTTACCTTCACACCTGTAGCAAATAAACAAAGTAAAAAAAAAAAGAGAAAGAAAAAGAATACAATTAAGCATTTGTTTATATGTGGGTAGCTACCGAGAGCTACCCCAGCGATAAGCATAACAAATAAATAATAATAGGAAATTGTTTACAACAAAATATTGTTTCCTATTCCTATAGAACAGTTGGACACAGAAGCTATTGCTTTTGTTGTTGTTGTTGTTAATGCATTGTTTAACTAATGAGTTTATTGTTGTTCTTGTTGTTATTTGAACTGTGCACACACCCACCCCATTCACCCAGTCACCCCATCACCCCCCACACAATGCACCATTATCTCTCTGAAAGCCGAAAGGCATTGATAATGTTCACATTTTATATATTCAGCTCGTGTCGCCTAACTGTAGCCCCTCAAAACCCCACTACCTCGACAGATATACGTAGTGCCCTAAAATAATACATCAAAGTCACGCGCAAATTGGGCGTTAGAATTGGATATGGTTTGGTCAATGGTTATGGCAAAAGGCGACTCATTAACGGCCTTGTCATCCGATAACTATGTACAAAGTTCAACTTATATATATATATATCACTAGCACACAGTAACAGCTATATAATTAGCGTAATTATCTGATAAAAGATGAGACTCTTGCTTGAATCCATTTCGTGTATATGGACTATATGTGTGTATTTATCTGGTAGTAAAACATATTTAATATGCTATTTGGCTAGTAAAAAAAATCGTATGCTCTTATAAAGTCTGGCTAACCAGTATAAGTGTATCTAGAAGGTTTTATACCTTGTAATACTCTTGATCAAGATGATCTCTCTTTCTCTCTCTCTCCTTTCTCCCAGCAAACAATTCTCTGAGCTTTTAAGTTACTTTGAAACTCATCTTCTCGCTAGCTCCTACAATAAGTTTAGTTTATTGAACTATTTATTTTAACTCCATGTTAGAGTTTCATATGTTCTAAATATTATTCTCTGAGCTAGTATTTTTAGTAAAATACTAAGTCAACGCCTAAAATTTAAACCCGAATCTTCGTTTTTCATTAAACTTAAGCTGATTATATATCAACTATATGTCATCTGCTTTCACTAGAAATGTTCGGAATCGTACTTAAAAATATTTTCAATCTTTTTTATTGTATGTGAACTCTGTGCCTTCCCACCGGCTTCCAAAAGAAACTTTTTAAATGTTATACTAAGAAAGTTTTTCAATAAATATTATTTACTTTATTTTTGGTAGATTCCAAAACAATAAAAAACCAGTGAATACTTTTAAGCGTTGCATAAAATCAAAATCTCAAGTCGCGTGCAAATATTTGAGTTCACAATATTTGTATACGAAAAAAAGTTTGCTTTCCGACCGGGACAAATATTTGGGATTCTATGAAAAATTGAAAGCCATAAATTTTCGGCGAATCGACGTTCGCATGGCTTTAATTAATTGGATTTCATTATGAATAACTTTTTTTCCTTTCATTTTTTTTTTTTTTTGATTTACTTTCGTGGTTGCCTTAGGTACTGACCAAATATGTACACGAGGTAGCCTCTAATGATATTATAATATTCCGTGAACATTTCGTTTCATTCATTTGGCAGCCACGTGCCCCAACGGCGCATGTATGCTGGCGTCTGGCTGATATATAGCTATATACACAGATAGTTATTCATATATAGTATTTTATTACAGAATAATGTGCCCGTTGTGCCGAAGCGATAAGAAACTCGAGACAGCTGATCTCAGCGTGTTCGAGGTGGGAAAAATATGCGAGTGCGTTCGCACTTGAATTGTTCGAAATTCCTAAAATAAAAACCGATCTCAAGTTATATAATTAAGTCAAACTTAACTGTAAACGGATCGGCATATTGCGTCATGGCAACGGTAAAAACCAGGCATCTCATCATAACTGACCGACTGACGTCTCAAGCCAGGTGCTATTTTTGGCAGTGCGCCTTGTAAATTTAACTTTATTTTCTGTTCGATGATGATAAGCCCTGTATCAGCCCCATCACTGTCCAGTTTATATGTATTTTTTTTTTTTCTTTTTTGTAGCTGCCCCCCAGCGACGTATTTTGTTTGTATTATCTGGCGCTGTTTTATATAGACGTAGCGCCTCATTATGCGAATCTAGGGCGAGGCTAATCTTTTGGTGTAATTGACGCAAATTGAAAATGAGTCGATTTCAGAGTTTTATTTTTTCCTCTCAAACGGCCAATGGCTTTTGAACCCGTACTGAATCAGCGTTTCCCTAGGTCGGGCGAGTGTTGTGCCTGGTGAAACGTGCCGTCTCTTTTATATAGTACACAAAGGTTCTACATGTAACAGCCGCAGCGTGTGTCATTGTTTTTAATGCTGAAGGTTGAGAACGCAGTTTGTTGTCTCTCTTTGTGATTCTCAATGGCCTGATGAGTCCTGAATGTGCTAACTAAACAGTTTTTATACGAAAAAACATGTGTCACACTAAAGATTATATTCGGTTTAAGTGCGATTTAGCTACAATTCTTCGATCATTACTAAGTATCATATTTTTTACATATATAACACTTTTTTTGAAATAATACAATACTGAGAAATATTCAGATATTTGTACTTAAATGAAGTCAAACAAGCTCGAACTATCCTAACCTGGACAGAAATTTGTTTAGATTTTAAGAAGAATATATTCATCAAATTTTTTTTTTTTTTACCCTTAGCATTGCTAATGTTTATAATTTATTCTCTTTACTTTATACAAAAACCTACAAATATTTAATCCCATTAAAATGTGATTTATAATTAGTCAGCTTACCAAGGTTTCTTCTCTTCAGATCTTCAACCTTCGGCTCTACGGTTTTCCTTAATATTTCTTTTTTTGCTCACACACACAAAATAGGTAAATATTGTTACGTTTTTGCTCTTTGAGTCCTTACTTTAAATAAATAAAATATATAACCAGATATAGTAATTAAACGATTTTCCTGAGATAAACAAATAAAATTGAAATTCCTTTTGATTCTTGAGATAAACAATCGATATGTGTGGTGTGCCGACTAAATACAGCTTAAGAAAATATTTGTTGTCGAAAGCAATTAAATTTTGTTAAAAATCGTTCTGAATACAAAGGTGGGCTATACGAATTTATTTACGAATTGTGAGTTACGATCGATGTGTTAGAACGCGAACCAAATGTTGCTTTAATTTTCAAAGTGCCGATTCGATTTAGATCCATCAAAATGTTTACACGCACATAAATAATATCGTTTTGTTTTTCTAAGTTGTTCGCGTTTTTGCGCTTTTTTTTTTGTATTTATTTTATTTTACGAGTATTTTTGCATATTTGGCTCGCGTGATTTTTTTTTTCGCTTTTTGTGCTGCTGCTTTCAGCTATGGCATTAAATCTTGAGCATTTCATTTGGGCGTGACCCTAGATTAGCACAATTTGTATATGTATATATATATGGGTATATATATGTCTATAGGGTGTCATTTTTTGGGGCTAATCAATATGGCTCGCGCCATTCATATGTTACTACGCTATTTTTAATGCTAAATAGTCATATAAATATACGAATATCATTCATCTTGATTGAGGGGATGTGCCATACAAAAACAGGTATTTGACTGATAGATATCCTGTAATGTGCACACAAAAATTAACATTTTTCAAGACTTGGTGGTGAGTCGGAGAACTTATCAAAAATGTTAGCTAACCTATTTTGATATTCCTTACATATTAGTTTGCCTTCCCATCCATTACTATACCCAATTGGCTGTGAATCTGATTACAGGGTATATTCTAGTAGGTTGATAGCCTCAGAT